AATATAAAAATGTAAAATTAATTGAATAAATAAGACATATGACCTAAAAAGTGTTATACTTAACTTTATATATTTTTGAACAAACCGAAAAGTTACCCACAAACACACACGCACATTAAAAACATATGAAAGAACAATATAAAGTAAAAAATATTAAATCTGATAAATAATATTAAATTTATAATAAAGTTGTAACATTTGCTAATAACTATGAAAAAAAGTAATAAATAAAAATATTATAATTAGTAAAAGTAATTATAGAACTTTTAAATTTGTTTAATTTTTTGCGCTTATTAGTTCTGTATATAAATTTTAGATGATAGACATCAGTTATTTATACTTTTATCCATGAAGGTTAGAAATTTATTTTTCTTAGAAAATTAATTATTTTGATTTTAAATAACGTTTTATTTGCTATTAGTTTTTTAATATAATATATTAATCGAATATTTTATATATATACAATAATACCTTTCGTTATGTAATATGTAAGTGCAAGAAATGTAATTCAATAGATAAATTAATAGGTAATTTTGCGATAAAATAATGAGCAATTTCTACAAAAATTATATGGATTACCAAGTTCACTTGTTTAATATATTTTTAATATAAAAATTATAAATACAATTAATTAATAACAAAAAATCCTAATAAAAATTATAATATATAAAGAAGTAAAAAAAAAGGTACATTGCAATGAAAAATCCAACAGTAAGACATTAACTTTTTTTTTTTCAAAGACATCACGGTAAGACATTAACTGGAATTTCTAAATGATATTTTATTTATATGTCTGTCATTGTAAAATATGACCCGAAATTATATTATTTATTGTGTAATATATTTATTTCAATTATCATTATTTATTATTGCGTGAATTTTTGTTAAAAAAAATTCGGGTCATATTTCAACAGTTGGAAAAATGTCACTGGAATTTGTCATCTTTCTCATCTGTAGTACATGTTTAACACATCAATACAGTTACCATCTATATCTATATCTATCTATACTACTCTAAAAAGACGAGTGTTTTTGTAAAAATATGAGTTGCCTAAAACACCCTTACTTTGACATATTTTTAATGGCAAATTAGTAATACAATAATAATCATCCTATATTATGTTTTTAATTAAAAAATGGTCTATATTAATAACAAATAAAAAACTTCATTATATAATGATTCCTAATAGTTGAATTAATTAAAATTATGATTCCTAACAAGTTGTATCAATTACGATTGTATCAAAGTAGTTGAATGGTTAAATAGGATTGCATTCTACATTAAGTAGTTATATCAACTACTGGACGAGTAGTGTTTGATGATAAATCTATTATTTTAATAAGAAAAATTACAACATAAAAATTTTAATGTAAAAATGAATAAAAAAATATTGTATTACAATAAAAATCTAACGGTATGGTATTCCACTGAAATTTTCAATGGATATTTTATTGGTAGAGCTTTTATTGAAAAATTTCATTGTCTATTCCAATTACTATTATTTATTTTTGTGTGAATTTCCTTTGATTTTTTTTTTCATATTTCAACCATTGGAAAAACTATCAATTGAATTATAGAATATTCAATATAACTGTCATTAGAAATAATGAAATATTGTATGAGAATTGGATAAGAAAAAAATTAAAATAATAAATAAAAAATTAAATAATTATTACCTATCATAATTTTAATAAGTATTTTAAATATCATTCATTTTATTTATTAACATCTAAAATATTTCTTACACTTCTAATCATAAATTCATCATTTTAATGGTACTCTTTATCATTTTAATCATAAATATTTCATGAATATTTAGGATTGTGCATATAAACATTTGAGAATATTTTTGTGACTTAATAAACAGAGACTAAGATAAAGAATACTATTCATGATAAATTAATTAATAACTATAACTACAAAATAAATAAGATAATGTATTGTGTCAGAATAAGTTAGATTATTGGGTTATCATGCGACGTGTGATTATATTATGCGATGAATCATCAATTACGAAAAAACAGACAATGGTCCTTATTGCTTCTTTTTTAAATGATGCAACACTTTAACAGACATGTGGTTATTTTTTATGCATCAAGAAAATATCTATATCTATACTAATATAAAAGGAGAAATGATTTTGCAAAAAATTGCACGGAGTAAAAATCGTCCTTATATTTGTATCATTTTTAATGAAAAATTTATAATAACCATTAAGTGTCTAAATTAATATAATCACGATTAAATATTTCAATGAAAGGATTCTAACAAGGACAAAACCCTTTAAAAAATAAAACATATCAAAATAGATTTAAGTAGGTAAAAAACGTATTAATGTAGCAATAAATGAGAAATTAATAAAGAAAATACAAAACTATTTTAATATCAATAAATGAGAAATTAATAAAGGAAATGCAAAACTATTTCAATAAGATTTAATTGATATAAAGTATATTCCAAAATATATTTGGAACAAATAAAAATGTAGGGGATGTGCTATCCTCAATTTCACAACATACATTATTAAGTATGAAGTATTATAGTATAAATTGGTTACAATTTTAAATTGATATAATTTTCATATTACTAATTACATAACTACATGTCATAATAAAAAAAAATCGATATAACATAATTATATAAATTTACATGAAACAAATAACATGACATATAAAAATACTCAAATGTATTATTCGAAAAATAAAGTATCAAGTAGGATAGATGAAAAAAATAAATAATAAAAAAACACATTATATAATATATGTATTTGGACATGTATTTATGAACATATATATTAATTGCACTGTAGAATTAATTGCACTGTAAAATATAAAAAGCATAATATTATTCTATTTTTACTATTTTAATTTATATATAGAATCAATTGCACTGTAATATATTTTCGTTGAAGTTTTCCTGTGAAATTTCATCATTTTTTGTAGTAAAAGTAGGGTTTTAAATCAATAAGTATATAAATTTACGTTAATATAATATTGCGTGCAACTAATTATTATGAAAATTATTGATAATGATAGAAAATACAACATATTTAATGTAATTTCATTTAATTTATGATAATCAATAAACAAGATACATCTAGGTTGAAAAGTCTTTAATTATTTTAGTAGTATTATGGTAACTAAACAAGAGGTAAGAATGGTGTTCTATGTAATAAAAATGTAAGACTAGGTAATGAGAAAACATATAGCTCGCATTCAATCCATAAATAAAAAAGTGATAAAATTAATTAATGTCATATATCAGGTTGAGCTGACTAATGAAATATATAACATATTCAAGATGAAAATTTATTTGAACTAGAACTTTTAAGCACATAAAATATATATACTTTTGGCACTAAAAAAATTAGTAGGGTAGTCTTAATTTTTTTAGTTACAGATTTCATTAATCTACCATTAAAATTTTTAGTTTTGAAATACTTAATATTTATTATTTATTACCCTTTTTGTATTTAATATGAAATAAACATAAAATAAACTTGTGCTATATTTTGCTTACATAGATCTGAAATATTCATACAAATAAAAAAAAGGTACAAAATAGATGCTTCTCTTCAAATTATAAAGTTCACATAGAGGCTAAAAGTATCATAATATAATAGAATTCTAATTCTTATCTTCTCAAATATTTTAACAAATGATATACTTCTTAATATTGTCTCATTGTTTTTTTTTTTTTTTTTTTTGTGTTTAATAAAAGATCTTTGTCTTGAATTTTCGAAGCATTATGTATGATGCGAAAAAACTGTACAATAAATCATTAAAGAAGTTATTAGACACATAAGTATTGCAAATTCGAACGAATGTGAAACACTAAAATAATTGCAGCAACTAAAATGGTCAATGATTTGCAAACAATAGATTATATAGTTCGTTTGCCTTCTAAATAACTAACTTTGAAAAGATGTCGAAGCCTGATCAAAACATTCTTCAATGTTGAATGAAATTGACCCTTTTTATAGAAATATTTACAATCTCATTATGTGTTTTGCTCGAACATATGTGCATTTATTTTACATTACGTACTTTCATGTAATGTAATGATTTCAAAAAATAATTTAGCATCTCGAGGGAAATACATGTAACCAAAATTTTGAAAAGTCAACTTTTATTTGGAGATGAAATTCATTTTCACCCTGTGGGGGCAATGCCTCCATGGGGTAGGTATCAATTTTTTTATATGGACATAATAATGAAGTTGGTTATACAATAATATATATATTTATATACCAACAATAATGATACAGTTGGTTATTTTACAACAATATTCATGAACTGTTAGTAGAAGTACCTTATAAAGATCATACGATCAAGAAATTTGACCACATGTTTAGTCAAAATATTTATAAGTGTTTGAATAAAGTACACGTTTTGCCAAATGAATTAAGACGAATTTGAAGTATTATTGATGTATTGGGCTCCAACGATTATGAATGTTTCTTATGAAAACGTCAAAACGAAATGAAAAAAATCCCTCTCTAATCATCTAACATAATTAAATAAATAACTAATGCATCTATAATATGGATTAAGTTCTTATTTAGTCATTCAGTGTTTTTTCTATTATGTACTGTATTTTTCTTGGGGTAAATGTTATTTCATTCTATTTATATTATGACATTATTATGTTATTTTTAAAAAAAGCTTATTTGTTCTATATCTTACTTTGTTTCATTTAATGATATGTTTAATAAATTAATTAATTAATTTTATTAAGTTTAATCGGTAAAAACATTCAACACCACGTGCGATGCACGTGCACTTTACTAGTCTAATCAAACTTATTTACATACATTAGGCTTATAAGTAAACCAAATAAATTATAGGGAGATGCTATGTTCCCATTACAGAACCATTATGTCGAGATTTGTAACAGTTAGATCAACTATCCTCGACGGTTACATGATCTAACGGTTACAAACTCGGACGAAATAGTTCCGTAACGAAACTGTAGCATTTCCCGAAATATAATATAGTTTATGCTAGCTACCACATGTATTAAATTTCGAGGTATTGGGCCCAATGTAAGATATGAAATAGGACCCGAAAATCTTTTGGCCCAACCTTACACGAAACAATTTTTGCCCGCCAAAACGAAGTGCCTGTTCCATTTCCCGCCAAATCCTCAGAAAACCTACGCCGAAAAGGTCAGTAAAATTTTCACCGAGCTCTCTCTCTCTGTTACGCCGATAAACTCCGGTGCGCACACAGACGAGAAGATACTGCGATTTGAAGCTCCGGCGAGGGTTTGCCATGGATCTGAGCGAGGATGTCCGGGCAGCACACAAGCGGACATTTCTCAAGTTCTTCGAACAAACTGTAAGTCTCAAAATTAACAATTCAAATGACTGTTCGTACATCTGTTTCAACACTTGGTGCTTTGGTAACCCGAAGTCATTTCGTAAATTACTGAATTTCAGGATTACAACATTGAGCTGAAAAAATCGCTCGACTATATGTTTACTCAAAATCGTCGCCGTTGTGTAGTTAACCTTTCTCATTTCTACCACCATAGAGAAGGGACTGATCTGGCTCGCAGGTGAAAATGTCAATTACAGTTTGTGATTTTCCGTTGAGAAAAGAATGATTATATATTTATATATATACGTATGTGTGTGTATATATATATATATATATATATATATATATATATATGTGTGTGTGTGTGTGTGTGTGTGTTTGTCTGTCTGTGTGTTTGTGTGTGTGTTATCTGTCTGTGATTTTGTTGCAATATCAGGCTATTGCAGTCTCCGAGCGAGTATATGCAGCCGCTTTGTGATGCAGTGACTGACATGGTTCGGAGCATGAATGCTAAGTACTTAAAGGAAGGAGAACAAATTCTGGTTGGGCTTGAGGGTCCGTTTGTCTCCCGAAGAGTGACCCCACGAGAGCTCTTATCTGGGTTTATCGGCTCCATGGTCTGTGTGGAGGGCATTATTACCAAATGTAATTCCCATTTTCATTTGAAACCTTGTGTTTTTTGACAATTTTCTCTCTTTGCTAGTATGTTGTCTTGTTAAACTTAAACTGGATTGTCTTTGAAAGTCTTGATCTTCAGAAGTGGTGTTAGCTCTTGAACACAAAATGAGAAAGATTTTGGGTTTATTGTTTTTTTTCTTTTAGTTATGCAGCAGAGTTATCTAGATTTTTTTTTTTTTTTAAATGTTAGTTTATAGCTATATCAGAACTTAATGATGTCATCGAGAGATGTTCATTGTCTGTATGTAGGTTCTCTTGTTAGGCCAAAAGTTGTCAAGAGTGTCCACTTCTGCTCAGTTACAGAGAAATTCACAGTGCGTGAGTACAGAGATATTACATCCAATATTGGCTTGCCGACTGGTTCAGTGTACCCAACACGAGTACGGCTTTTGCCCCTTACCCTTCCCATATCTTGAAATCATTCAACCAATAAGGAAATTTGACATAAATTAGCTTGTTTTCAGGATGATAATGGCAACTTGTTGGTAACAGAGTATGGTCTTTGCACTTATAAAGACCACCAAACTCTATCAATGCAAGAGGTTCCAGAGAACTCAGCTCCCGGCCAGCTTCCGAGGACAGTGGATGTTATAGTCGAAGATGATTTAGTGGATTCATGCAAGCCTGGAGACCGTGTGGCGATAGTTGGGATATATAAAGCCCTTCCTGGAAAGAGCAAAGGCAGTGTGAATGGAGTATTCAGGTCGGTATGTTAACAGCCAACAGTCACTAGCTACATATGTAATTGCTTTAATTGTTGAAACATCCACTGTTGCTAATGTAGGACGGTTCTCATAGCCAACAATGTCTCTCTTCTCAACAAAATGTCACACAACTTACAGTATTCGAGTGACGATATGAAAAATATTAGGAAGGTATCTGAAAGAGATGATGCGTTTAACCTTCTTGCTAACTCTCTTGCTCCATCTATATATGGGCATCTGTGGATAAAGAAAGCAGTCATTCTGCTGATGCTTGGGGGAAATGAAAAGAACTTGAAGAATGGGACTCACTTGAGGGGGTAAGTATTGCTTATCTCTTGCTGCTTTTAATTTTATAAGCATGGCTCTCTTGATTTGGTCTCCTATTCTAGTTTTTGTCCAAACTTATTTACTATTCTCTAATTTGTAGTGATATAAACATGATGATGGTCGGTGACCCCTCTGTTGCCAAGTCCCAGCTGTTGAGAGCTATCATGAACATTGCTCCTCTGGCCATATCAACCACCGGTCGTGGTTCATCTGGTGTTGGATTGACTGCTGCAGTTACTTCTGACCAAGAAACAGGTAAATATATTGTGTTCGTCGTCTTTGGTTCTTGGATACGGTTTAAGTGATGACTGACCGAGTGTTGATGTCCTTAAACCTAGGTGAGAGAAGACTGGAAGCCGGCGCCATGGTTCTTGCTGATAGAGGGGTTGTTTGTATTGATGAGTTTGACAAAATGAACGATCAGGATCGTGTTGCCATCCATGAGGTGATGGAGCAGCAAACTGTGACCATTGCCAAAGCCGGTATTCATGCATCCTTGAATGCTCGGTGCAGTGTTGTGGCAGCAGCCAATCCAATATATGGAACAGTAAGTTTCTACCCAAAGCTTATTTAAAAATTTAAGCAACGTAAATCTGTCATTTTTATGTAACCATAATTCCACATGTTTGACTGTACAGTATGACCGTTCGTTAACTCCAACAAAGAATATTGGGCTTCCTGATTCTCTTCTTTCTCGTTTTGATCTTCTGTTCATCGTCTTGGATCAAATGGATCCTGGGATTGATCGTCAGATCTCAGAGCATGTGCTACGTATGCATCGATATCGTTCGATGGTTGATGGAGGTATATATGAATATTTATTTATCTAACAACTTGAATGGATGGGTTAGGATTGAAGTATATAGATTACTATGTAGAGGCTGGAACAAGGTTACAAAACACAATATTTTTTTTCGACAGGTATGAGATTAGATGAGAGTTCAAGGCACGATGGCGAGGAGGATCCAGAAGCTGGTTCTTTGGTTTTTGTCAAGTATAACCGAATGTTGCACGGGAGAAAATCGGATAAGGGTCGTAAACGCGATACTCTCACTATCAATTTTCTTAAGAAATACATTCATTATGCAAAGAACAGGATTCAGCCTGAGCTCACTGATGAGGTGATGTCTCCTTAAAAAGTACTTCATTATATGCGGTGTCTAATACTTCCCTATTATTAATTTTTTTTCAGCGTGTTAATCGTATTTTAGGTTCCCACAACTCAATACTGAAACTCTTTCACTTGACTTTGTTCATAAATAATATTCCAGGCATCTGAACACATAGCAACTGCATATGCGGAGCTTAGGAATGCGGGTTCAAATGTAAAGGTCGGTAATTTCCTCCCTTAAGTTTAGCTGAACAATCGAAGTTTATGTCTGTAATAGTCTAACCTAAACTTACGTGATATATTTCAGACAGGAGGGACACTTCCGATCACCGCAAGAACCTTAGAGACCATAATTCGTCTCTCGACTGCCCATGCCAAACTTAAGCTACGAAGACAGGTATCATTTCCATCACTTGCTAAGTCCGACAGAATTTCTTTATTGATTTGATTGTGAGTTTTATTTAATATGATGATTAAGTTTACAAAAGACAGAAGGAATATCAATTATTATTAAGTTAATTGATAATTAGGTTAACATTTACTAATTACACGTTGTGATTTCACATGAATGAAATGTTTTCTTGGACTTGTTGTTTGTTCTCGATCAGGTACTGAAGCCTGATGTAGAAGCTGCTCTGCAAGTTCTAAACTTTGCCATATATCATCAAGAGCTGAATGAAATGGAGGAGAGGGAGGAAGTATGGCGGAGAGAAATGGACGAAGAGCGTAGGGAAGATTCCGAAGCTGGTGGTAATAACGATGGAGCTCGTACGAGAGGTGCAAGTGACGAAACCAACAACAATGGCTCAACTGCTCAAACTGGGTAAGTAACAAAAATCAAAAGATTTGCATTTCGTTGTTTTTTTGTGGCACTTTGGGCTAATTTCTTAACAATAGAGAAGTCATGAGAAAAATTTCTGTATCATTTGTGTCGATGCAATTTCATGTTATAATCTTGATCATTTACTTTTCTAATTAAATGTTCGGTTGATAATTTATCATTTTCTGACACTTCTTCCATTTTTTTCATGCTTTTGCAAAGTGAAACTGAACCTATGGATGTAGATGCACCTCCATCAAGTGAGGTCAACATATCACAAGAAAGGTATGTGTGCTTAAACGAGCAGCATCTAAAGCAACTTCGTATTCAGTATCTTTGAATGGGATTCATTTCTAACACTCCTATTTTCTTTTTTATTTTTTTATGTTTTTCTATGGCATGTAGATTGGACTTGTTCAGTGCAGCATTAGGGAAGTATAGGCATGCACAACATTTGGACCAAATGCCGATAGCTGATATCGAGAGTGTGGTTAACGTTGGAGCTCCCGTCCCTTACTCGGGTGCCGAGATTATGTCTCTCTTGGAGGTAATCTTTACACTTAGTTCAACTGCATATATATATACATACTTGGTTACTCCCTTATATATGCTGTCTTATTCAATGAATCTTGATTTTTTCTAGAGAAAGGCTAATTGCAAATCAATGTTTTTTGATTATTATGCAGAAAATGCATGAGAAAGGAAGCTTGATGATATTTAGGGACACCAATGTGGTTTACTTCATGTGACAAAAACTTTATGAGCTAGTTGGGATTTTGAATTATTGTCGGAACTTGAAATCATGTTTCGGTTTTTATAGTAAACGAACGTGTCAAGTTTGGTGCCGGAATGTAATCTTAATTCTCTTAACTCTTTGATATTGCCTGAACGGTGATCATTAGTCTAACTGTACTTGTAGATTGAGTCAAGATTCTTTATCTTTGAGTTGTAATAGGATCTTCCGAGTGTTCAAGTTGAACTTCGATTAAAAGAATATTTATGAAGTTATCCTCAAAACCCTAATATACACATTCTAATGAATTTTCCATCCAAGTTTTCTCTAATCATTTCGTGACAGAAATATTTTGAGGCGACACTCGCTTTGCCTTACCTAAAATATATCAGCCTTGCATGAATATTGAGATAACTTCATAAATCCAAATCAATTTAATCTATCAAGCAGAGGCACACAGAAAAATGACATCGATCACACTTTGCCAGTAATTATAATATAAGACGAAACAAAATTTTTACACGAGAGCTTAAAATGCTAAACATAAGATGTAAGAAACTAATGGATCAAACTCCAAAGTTCAAAAACTCATAATCCTGCAGATGAAAAAGTCTAACAAGGGCCCAAAGACTGAAGATTATCGTCCAAAAAGCAAATAGATTTTTGAGAAAATTACCCCACCTACAATCCCTTCCCTAAATAATATCACATTTACAATAATATCAAACTTTCATCAAATTTAGGAACGGCTTTAAATAAATTAATTTAAATAATAGATAGGTGGTTAAAGTTGGGCTGATTTTTCGGTAAGTGATGTTAATGATATTTAATTATACACCAACCCCAAAACTTCCCTCTTTTCCTTTTTCTTTTTCTTTTCCCTTCGGTCTCTCTCTCTTTCTCTCTCTCTCTCTCTCTCTCTCTCTCTCTCTCTCTCTCTCTCTCTCTCCTTTTTCCCATCTTTTCCGTCACTTTCTTCTCTTCTCCGATCCCCAAATCAAAAATCAAAATCCAATATCTCAATCAATTTCTTCCAAAGAAAAATTCTCGAATTTCAAAATTTCAGTTTCAAGGGAGGTCGATTCAGCGGGGCGCAACGCACGAGACTTCAGCGGCTGACGGGCGGCGTCGGTATGGCAACGACGCAATGATGTTCGGGGCTGACGGTTCTCTACGAGCCTGCTACTTGATGCCGGCGAGAAGGAAGGTTCACGACTGAAGGTCCGACGGCGATATGGACTCGCGAGGACTGAAACTCGATGGTCGAAGGTTTGCAAACGAGGATCGATATGACTGAACAGAGACTGTTCGATGTCTCGCGGTTAGGGCTTGTGCGGACAGTGGTTCAATCGGGCGGCCTGCGTCTGACAAATCAGCAATCGACGGCGGAGGATAGGTGGTGAACGGCTTCGTTCACTGCTGCGTGGATCTCCTCCCAGCGAGAGGCTCATCTGCGGCGATCGGAGACTAGACTGGGGTTCGCTGGTCGTCGGGGCGCTATTGTGGTGTTTTTTTTGGAGTGTACAAAGTTGTTGATTGAACTTTGTAAATGTTACGTAAAGTTGAAATATGTAGGAATTGATAAGTTTTAAGTTCTATTCGTGTCATGTAAAGTAGACATAGGTTGTTTATCTAATGTATAACTACATTCGGTTTTGGATTTTGCAATCATTTAGAATTGTGTATTATGTTTTATGTTGTTTTAGTGTTGTTTATATGTTGTTTATCTTATGTATAACTATGCGAGTAATATTAGAGAAATGTTAGGCCATGTTTATCTAATGTATATATACAGTATATCTAAACATATTTTTTCATGGTTATGAGGAAGTATATATGCAGTTATACTTAACATAATTGGTAGATAAACAAAATATATCACACACAAGTCATTGACGAATATATTGATTTTATTTGCCAAAGATTTGCTTTCTCATACCAAACATCAAATCATTGACAAAAATCAGATAATCTGAATTGATGCATTAAGACACATGGACACTTTTATCTCTGAAAGTTTCGCCGACCGTAATATCAATATTAATGTATCCATCGATCAAAACTCCAAGTTTCTGGAGTGTTTATTTCCCGTTTATCTTCCGTATACTTTACTGTTTTGGAATGTTCCGGAGTGTTTATTTCTCGTTTATCTTCCGTATACTTCACTGTTTTAAACCTAGTCTGCAGCTGGTTCGGCTATTCCTCTGTAAAATCATCATCTTCCGAATCTTTTCAGAACACATATTCCTGAAAATAAATAATTTATCACCCGAGGCCACATAATAAACTATCAAAATTGATTATTTGAATTTCTGATTTTGCAGTGGGATTTGATTAAAACCTCGAAGGTTGACGCTTAAATCTTATTTTTCATCACCTGTCATCAAACATACGAAAAATCTTAATATCATCAAATATGTAAAATCCCCGTTTGCAGACCTTCGACCATCGAGCTTCAGTCCTCGAGAGTCCAGATCGTCGTCCGACCTTCAATCGTGAACCTTCCTTCTCACCGGCGTCAAGTAGCAGGCTCGTAGCGAACCGTCAGCCCTGAACATCATTGCACCGTTGCCATACCGGCGCCGCCCGTCAGCCGCTGAAGTCTCGTGCGTCGCGCCCCGCTGAATCGACCTCCCTTGAAACTGAAATTTTGAAATTCAAGAATTTTGCTTCGGAAGAAATTGATTGAGATATTGAATTTTGATTTTTGATTTGGGGATCGGAGAACAGAAGAAAGTGATGGGAAAGATGGGAAAAAGGAGAGAGAGAGAGAGAGAGAGAGAGAGAGAGAGAGAGAGAGAGAGAGAGAGAGAGAGAGAGAGAGAGAGAGAGAGAGAGAGAAGGGAAAAGAAAAAGAAAAAGAAAAAGAGGGAAATTTTGGGGTTGGTGTATAATTAAATTATTGGACCCATTAATTGAATACAAAGTTTGGAAAGTAACAGATTCGTAAATTTGATAATACTTATCTACAGAATTACACATTTGATAAAAGATTTTAAGAAACACAATTTTAAAAATAAGTATGATCCAAGATATATGTGTGTAAATTTCCCTAGATTTTTCCTCACATCAAGAAGGGCCCAGCTATTGTTAACCCAATCATGTAGAGCAACACTTTCAACAACAAATCTCTAAATAAATAAATATAGAAGATTAATGACTTTTGCATTTAGTCTTAATAGTTGTTTCAAGCCCAATAAAAATGAGTGTGTTTTAAGGGAAAATTATGTAACTGCCCACCATTAAAAAAAAAAAAAAATATATTTATTAAAAAGCCCACCGTTGAAACATACGAGATTGAATAAAACTGATCCTTAAAAACAGTTTGTAGAAAAAATTAAAAATGAAACGACACTTACAACTTCACATGTATGTCAAAAAACAAAAAATAAATAAATAAATTAATAAATAAATGTCAGGTCCCAGCACCATAAGAGGGTTAGTCTAAATGAAGCCCAAATGAAGTTTCATCGCAAAACTAATTGGTGGAAGGAGGAGTAGCTCACTAGGCTTATAAAGTATACTAATTTACCCAATCAATTCAATGTGGGACAACTCACAAGTGATATTCCAACACGTCCCTCATTTGTGAGCCCTTCAACACCCACGCCTACAACCAGGCCGGTACATTTTCAGCCCACGCCTGCCACCAGGTCGGGTACAATTTTTTTTTTCTTTAAATAATTGTAGGTCCCAAATTAGGCCCGCTCTGAAACCATGTCAAAACGGAGGCTCCTAAAAAAAAAACGACAAACCCGGCCAAGGTTGAGACCGCCGGTCGTTAGTGTTCATACCACAACCTCGGGAAGGTACCGATCGTCGTTGCGTCTGGGGTTATGTTTTTCAGGTTCTGGGGTCATTAGGTGCGGTTTGCCGTCAAGTCGATCCTTCTTTCGAGCACTTCGGCGAGGCGTGTTCGTGTCCCTCTCCCCTCCCATGGTGTGGATGGTTTTTCGGAGGCCAAATTTGATTTGAGAGCATACTCTTCTTCGATCCGTCTAGGCGACTGTAGTGGCCGCAGTTTTCGGGCTCGAGTTTCGAATTTGTGGCTTCGTTGGATCTCTTTGCTTGTGGATGAGGCTCGTGTGCAGTCTTGGGTGGTCGTGCGTTGAGTTTGTTAGGTGTAGAGGAGGTCCTATCTTCTTTATTTGTTTATTAGGTGTGAATTACTTTTGATTTTTTTTTTTTTGTTACGTTTAGTGCAGATGTGTCTGCTTTCTAGTGCAACTTTGTCTGCTTTTATCTCCTTTATAGAGTTTGTGTTTCTTTTTTGGAGTTTTGCTTTGTGGTTGTTAGTCTCTTTGATGGAGTTCGTACCCCCTTATGTGTTGACAAGGGGGATTGGTCCAGTCTTCTTGTTCCAGTGTGTTACTTGACACTTCGGGTGTACTCGTTTAAGTTTTTTAAGTTATTAATATATTGGCGTTTGAAAAAAAAAAAAAACAAAAAAACAATCTCCAATGCTGTGGCTTTGAAAGTCAATGATTTTGAACACATGTCAATCAATGATTGTAATGTTAATCCATGTAGGAATAATGTTAAAAGAGTAAAAATTTGAATCAAACTTGTATCTCCAATGCATCAATTTGATAAGAAGTTATTTGTATAGGTGGACCAATAAAAATAATCACTAATACAAGAACAATAAAAAAAATAAATCAAATATAAATTGAATTAATTAGACATCATGTTAACATGATGTTTTAGA